ACTTCCTCATCCACCACAGGTAAGAAGAGTCGTCTCGGCTTCCAATTTCCATGCACTAATCCTTTTCCAGAGGAACTGAGGGCTCATACCAAACCTGGGCGGACGCTGTGGGCGATGACAGCTACACTTTTGCCAACTTTGAACCCTACTTCAAGAAGGCTGTCACCTTCACCAAACCGAACGACGCCATACGTGGCGACAATGTGACTACCCAATATGACGAGAGCGCCTTCGAGACACCGGGAGGACCCATCCAGATTGGTTACTCAAACTATGTGTCCCCATTCTCGACATGGATGGAGAAGGCTCTCCACGCAGTCGGCTTGAAGAGGACCAGCGAATTCGACAGTGGCAAACTGATGGGAACACACTACACCCAAACTTTCATCGACGCGAAGGAGCAAACCCGCAGTGCATCGGACGAGTACATCAAGACAGCGCTCGACAACGACAAGCTCGCTGTGTACGCAAACACCCAGGCACAGAAGATCCTCTTCGATGGCAACAAGACCGCAACCGGCGTAAGGGTTCAGTCCACGGCCATTACCTACGACATCCATGCTTCCAAGGAGGTCATCGTTTCCGCAGGCGCCTTCCATAGTCCCCAGCTACTCATGGTATCGGGCGTCGGTCCAAAGGAGACTTTGGAGAAGTTCAACATCGATGTGGTTGCCGATCGCCCTGGTGTAGGCCAGAACATGTGGGATCACATTATGTTCGGGCCAGCTTACGAAGTCAGCTTCAACACGCTGGACAACACCCTCCACAACCCCGTTGCGCTCGCCGATGCTCTGGCCGACTACACCCTGAAAGGAGAAGGCGTGCTTTCTTCCAACGTCGTCGAATTCCTTGGCTGGGAAAAGCTGCCCCAAGAGTTCCGCCAAAACTTCTCCCAGTCCACCGTTGATGCCTTGAACCGATTCACCGATGACTGGCCAGAAGCTGAGGTAAGTCCCTAGTTTTTGATGATGACAATGCAGGATAGACGCTAATCACAAACTTTGAACAGCTTATCAGCGGAAACGGCTACATCGGCGACTTCTCCCTCCCTGTCCTCCAACAACCCCTAGATGGCAAGCAGTACGCCACAATCCTCGGAGGCATCGTAGCACCCACGTCCCGCGGCAACGTTACCCTGCAATCGGCATCCATGAGCAGCGCACCTTTGATCAACCCCAACTGGCTCACCTCGCCTGCGGACCAAGAACTCGCCGTCGCGCTCTACCGTCGCATGCGCCAGATCTGGAACTCGGAAACCATGCAGCAAGTTGTGATTGGTGACGAATACTGGCCAGGCAAGGAGAAGGACAGCGACGAGGAGATCTTGGCTGTGGTGAGAGACAGCCTGATGACTATCTGGCATGCGTCTTGCACGTGTAAGATGGGAAAGAAGGATGATAACATGGCGGTGGTGGACACCGAAGCTAAGGTTTATGGCGTCAAGGGCTTGAGGGTTGTAGATGCGAGTGCATTGCCTATCCTGCCGCCGGGTCACCCCACCAGTACGATTTGTAAGTTTCCCATGCGAGCTCAAGTGTTGTGCGGACGTCAGCTAACATTCGCGTAGATGCGCTCGCGGAGAAGATTGCCGCTGGCATTGTGGAGGCCAATCGGCGATAAGAGCCACGCGACAGTGAAAGACTTGTCGTGAAATGAAGCGGAAGAAAAATAGATCGGAGACCTTTTACTACGCGTTGGAAAATGACGTGAGGTTGGAGCCTCGGGTTGGATGTCGACTTTGAGAGCGCGTGTTGTTACTTTCTGTTCCCTTTCTTAATGTGTATATTTAATGTAGCGAAGCAATCCATGCGTCAACCGTGCGACAGCTTAACTCACAATGAAGAGTGTATGAAAGGAACCAAAATACCGAAAATCGAAACCCAAAAGCGTATCAGATGTTCTTGTCGCAAACTCGTAATGTACTCACGTGCTCGGCCTGAGGACGTCGGACCCCAAAAGCAGGAAGCGATTCACGTAGCAAAAGATTGAAGCAAGACGAAACAATCGGCACATAGGTCCTTGCCCTTCTTGATGCATCTCTACAAAGCGAGCTTGATCGTCTTGGCCACACTGGGCGTGCCGTTGGCGTCGATCGCGAACAAAAGCCAGTATCCAGGCAAGGCGACCCCTGGGTCGCCCGGGATAGCCACCGTGTAGCTCGTACCGCTACCCGACGTCGTTAATGCGATCCTTCTTTGATCTGTGTTAACGGTGTGAGTGGCGGTACCAAACCTCACCAGCGAGAACTTGGTAACAGCCGCAGTCGTGGTGATGCCCAAGTTCGCGCCGAGTCTGGCAGTAGAGGCTACAGTGCTTATGACAGGACGTGCGCGTCTTGTACCGTCAGCGTTCAGAAGGTAGGGCGGTACAAAGATCTCGGCGTCGAAGTGATTGTTGGCACCGCAAGACCCGCACAAGCCGCCACCGCCGACGAAGACGGTCGCATCCGGCATGAGGATTGCTACGGAGTGATATGTCCTGGGAATTTGCATGGGGTTCAGCTGTGTCCATCTTCCAGTAGTGGGGTCCCACAGCTCCGGAGTCAGCTGCGCCGTGTCGTCGTTGAACGGGTGCAGACGCGATTGTCCACCAGCAACGAAAACTGTTCCGTCGGGAAGCGCGACACCATTCGCGAAACCACGCGGATATGTCATAGACTGGGTTTTGGCGACGGTTGGGTTTGTCTTTGGTGCACCTATCGTGACGACATAGGCACTTGTGCGTCCGTCACTAAAAGACAACGAAGTCAGCATTGCTGCGTGAGTGATGCGAAAGGTTGTTCATACCTGTTTTCGTAGTTTGCAGCACCTCCTGCAGTGAGTATCTTTCCGGCTGTGGCGTCGAACATCACTGCATTGCCACACATGGCATCCCCGTCATCCAAGCGGTTACCAGCACCCGTGGTACTTCCAGATCCGACAGTATCGTACCAGTTCATGGCGATCGAAGGACCAGCTTGGAAGACCGTCTGGTTCTTCCATCTGTGTTCGGTCAGCACCAAGTTAAAGATGATGATTGGGCGCTGGACTTACCCAAAGAGCCAAGCATGGTTATCCGAACGATATACGCCCGCAGTATCAGCTGTAAGCATAGGGCTGACGAGCGCATTCTGTACCAGAGCCCAAGTATTTGCAGTAGCGCTATAGATCTCTCCGTTCTTGCCACCCCTGTTGCCGCTCCACGATCCGCCGATATTGAAGATGCGCCCGTCGGAGCAAGTAGCGGTAGATTGGTACCCCCGAGCGATCCGCATGTCGCTTCCTGGGGTCCAAGCGTCACTAGAAGGGTCATAGATGCTGGTCTTTGCAGCGTCGCTGCCCCCCGAAACGATAACACGGCCGTTGAAGTCCAGGGAGATACCTGGGCAGAACATGTCGTGCTGTGTATTGGAGACCTGAAGCTGGCTCGACTCGCCCGTAGCAGGATCATAAATGCCTGTTTGGGTGAAGCCTCTGGATCCGCCAAAGTTGTCCTTCGCGAAGGCCGACCACATCAGTACCTTTCCGTTCGGGAGTAATGAGACAGCTGCCGGTACAAGCGGGAAATCCACAGTCTTCTCCCACAAGCCTTTGCCTGCCGCTGGCGGAGCGTATGCTGTATCCTGGAAGATGTTGATCTCAGCGACGGTGGTCCATTGGTTGACGGCGCTTTGAGCTTCTGATGTAGCTGTGATCCTAACATATCGTGCCGGTTTCGCGACGAAGGAAGTCTTCTTGGTCGTCGCATCGTTGTTGTATGTGCCGACAGCGACAACCTTCCAGCTCGAGTTGTCGGTACTAATCTCGATCCTGTGTCCTCCAATCCTGCCATTGGCGTTGTCGCTTGGGCGTGGCTGGAGACTGACAGCGTTGATGTTATAGGATGCTTTCATGTCCACGATGATCCAGTTTGGTAGAGTGTCGGCCGGCGCGGGATCATATTTTGAGTGCCAGAACGATGTCGCATTTCCATCGAGCGCTTTAGATGGCTCATTACCAGCATGGAAACTGTCCGACGTTGCGGTCCATCCTGTACGGCTGATAGTGACAGAGGCAGAGTCGACTGAGCCCGCTAAGATGAGTACGGCGATATAAATCGCTGATAGACTGGACCTGAAGCTCATGTCGAAGATTGAGAAGTGGAGGCAGCGGCTTTGTTGCTGATATGAGTCTCAATGCAAGGAAAGCTTCGAACTTATAGTTCTTTGATAAGGTTCTGGCGGCATGTCAGCTTACAAGACGCTGACCTCTGTTCCCATCGCCTCTCGACCATAATCATCCATCTCACACTCGCAAACGCCATGATGCCCGTCTAGCTTAGCTTACAATAGCACTGTCCAAGGTTGATGCGGAAGTCCAGCTCCGCACACGCCCAAGAATAGACACGTGGAAGATATCGCCAATCTACGAGGCTGACGGACTTGACGCATCGCGCCCACAGACTGATCTCCGCGTAGATAGTACCATTCATTGACTTGCATCTCAAAAGTCTAACTCAGTGATGGGCTCGGCTTTGCCCGCTCAAGATCAGTAGTCCGTGTTGGCTGCATCATATATTAGGGTGCATACTAGATGCGTGCTCAGAAGCCTGGAAAGGAACGCCACAGGATGTCACCGGGTACTCGGACATCGTATTGATCATGTGGATGATGATATCGCGAAGTTTTACTGCCATGGGAGTAAGCAGGCGCAATGCCCAATATTTGCTGCATGCAGGACCATCTTGGCTAAGCGTTGATGGTGGGGCGGGATTCGGCTCGAATCGCTGACCGGGAACATGCATGAACGCCTCCAATGAACATCTGGACCGCTGCGCCCGTGCGCTAGTCGGGCATGGCGTACCCTCGCCTCGCCGGCTCCAATATTGAGGCTGTAGTCGTCCAGTCCGTCTGGTCCATTGAGAATCCATCGAGGAGGCTTTGCATGTAGTCTCTCTGCGTCCATTTTTGTGGATTGATAAGGGCATGCAAGCAGGCTGCCAGACCAAGTGACTGTTGATCGAGAAGGCTTCGCTTGTAGTCTCTATTCGTCCGATTCTTCGTCCGATTCTTCGTCGTAGTCTCCACTATCAGTCGTTTCCTCTTCGCTGTCGGTCGATTTTCCCTGAGGTCCAGAATGCGCTAATAACATCGCTGACATATCGCTGTCGGTCTCCTCCTCATTTATGCCATCTTGCTCGTCGCGCAAGTCTTTCAAGTTGTACCAATTTCCTTGGGTCTGACAGAAGACATACGTCTCAATTAAGAGATCAAACGACAGCACCGCCCAGATCGCCTCTACGTCCTTCGTGAAGGACGATGCAGATGAGCCAACTTCGTCGCGACACGTCAATGTGATCCTCCGCAAAGCCGAGGGCAGCTTGGCTTGAAAGCCTAAAGCCGGATTGTCTTGATACCCTGAGGGCTGGAAGCGCTCTACCTGTACCCAGTCTTCTATGTCTGATTGAGGGTACAGGATTTCCAACGTCTCGAGCTTTGGTGGCAAATCTCTCGGCTGGCAGCAGTCTTCCAGGAAACGATCCGACTCCGCATTGAAAATGAACAACTGTGGAATGGTGAGATGCTTGAGGTTGGTGAAGTGTTTAAACGATCTCTTTTGGTTCGTCAACAATTCCAGCAGCCACTCTAAATCCGAGTCGTCATCGGTAATCTCATGCGTGATGGCAAGCCTTTCTAGACTGTCTCGCATGCTATCAAGTTGATCTATGAGATAGCCAGCATCAAGCTGGGTATCCCGGTCGTCAGTGAGATGATAGCTGTCGTTGATACTGCGCGGGCGAATGTTAGCAGTGCCAACGTATACGATGCACTAACAAACTCACAGCTGCATCTTGAGGCTTCGTAGCCGGCTGCAGTCGAGAGCTTCGAAAAGGTCACTGAGTTGGATTTCCGCCTTCTCAACGAGGGGACGATCTGCAAATTGTATCGAGACACTCAAGGCTAGATCATCAAGGTTCTCGGCGCCCTGTAGACACCCACGACCGTTGAGACGCAGGATAGTACCAATGGAAATCGTTTTTAGATCGAGGCTTTTAAGATTCTCGTAGTGAATGCCGGACTTCAGTAAGTGTGTGTCGCTCGTAGTCAAATGTCGAAGCGTGCTCCAACCGTGAATAATGCTAGCAGGGGCGAACATTCCCCCGAAAAGCCCGGAGATGCACTCGCCTGAAGGTGGACCGCGAGCATGATCTTTCACCCAGACATCAAGGTGTGTGAGGTTGGGAAGCAGTACGATCAGCAGTCCAGCAAATCCCGACTCTATCGAGTTTCGAATGGTCCGATGCCAAGGATGCGACGCAGTATACCCCATCTGTTCCAGCTTTGCCAAGCTTCGCACGCGTAAAGACGCGAGGTCGAAGTCCTGCACCTCGCAAAGCTTCGCCACATTCTTGCGAATTGTCCCAACGCGTAGGGTTCTGATTTTTGTCGCAAGGTCTGCGCGGTCCAGGAGAGTACGCAGCAGCTGCAGAAGGGAGCTCACCTTGGGGTGAGTCCCACATGACATGGACAGGTTTACTGTGGTGTAAAGGGCATCTTGGGCGACAGAGCGAAATCTGCGGGACGTGAGACTTAGGTCCTTGAGGGACGTGGGTGCAGCCGAGTCGGGAAGATAAGAGGCGGCGTGTAGCAGTAACTCTTCCGGCAACTGGTAAATGGGCGGGTCATCGTAAGGCGTCATGATGTGCCTCATGCTCAGAGTGGTGGATGGCAGCATAGCAGACTAAGTGATGTTGATGCTCTGCTTGGTGGATTGCGCGGTTTTCGATTTCGCGAATAAGCTCCTCCTCGGTTGACTGTACCAAAGACCCTGACGGTATCATCCGGTGCGTATCATCCGCCACTCCACGTTCAATTCCCTGGATTCCTCAGGACGGTGCTGGTCGGGTAAATGTCATTGATCAAACCACTGTCATATCTTGATGCTGAGGTACGGCGCTGACGTGCCAGATGGGTGACTCCAATGGATTTGGAAATTGCGATCGCGGGATGGTGCGACACGATGACGTAATCACTTAGAGATGGCAGGCACACGCACAAAGCTGCGGAACTGCACGCCAAAGAAAGTCAACTACGCTTAATCTAGATTGAACACTACCTACTACTCGAAACTCAGACTTTCTTCTGCGCCCTCTTCTCTCTCAACCACATCTTGAGCAGGAACAGCAAGCTCGTCACCACACCCATGCCGCTCAGTCCGACGCTAACGTACATGGCGCCGCGATAACCGTGCAGTTCATCCTCCGCCGTTCTTCCGCCATTGTTCACGTGAACCTCTACTGTCCCTGCGATGCCAACCCCGATACTGATACTGTAGTTCACGATCGTATTGACCAAACTCGCTGCCATGCCTTGGTGCCTCTTAGCGACAGCATTACTCATGATCAGCGTGCCGGCAGGAAAGCTCATGTCCATACCCCATGGGATGATGAGCGTGGTAACAAAAGTCTGCGCCCAGTAGATCTGGTCGACGGGGAGTGTAGCGACGAGAATGTTGCCCGTCAAAAACGCTAGCATGCTGATCAGCATGACCCATCCTGGGCCGATGCGCGAGATGACACGGCCAGTGGTGACCGCAGCGATGAAGCCGGATATCACAACGGGGCAGAGATGGGCCATTGTGAGAAGCGGGGATTCGCCACGCAGCTGCTGGAGCATTTGGATGAAGTAATAAACCCAGATACCTACAGCTGTCGTTAGTCATGCGCTCTAACAAAGGTATTTGAGAGGCAACTTACCGAAAGCAGCCCAGCCACATGCTATGCAAGTCAACACGAACGAGACATCCGTGCTGAGCGCATCAAATGGGATGAGAGGCTTCTTGGCGACTTTGATCTCGATCCAAAAGAAAAGCGGAAAGAGAAGAAGGCCGACTATTAGCAAGACGTAGATGTAGGGGTGTCCCCATCCAAAACCAGGCGCTTGATTCCAGGCGAAGTTGAACAAGATCATAGCGGTAATACCCACAGTTGCGCCGAGTAGGTCAAGCTCACGAACTCGTTCCCTGTGCGAGAGATTACGAACTTCGGGATCGAGTGGTACTGAGGGAAGGATGAAGATCGACAGAATAGCAAGGCAGAATAGCGCAATGCCGAACGTCCAGAATGCCCATGGCCACCACAAGAGCGCCCAGAGACCAGCGAACGCGCCGCCAGCTATACCGCCACCTAAGGAACGTTAGGCAATATTCTTGAGAGAATGCAGAGATACATACCGGGAGCGCATGCGCCAAACAGCGAGAACACCATATCCTTCCTCTTCCCCTCATTATACGTCGCGCCCAGTAGGCCAAGCGCATTGGGCAGTAATATTGCCGGTCCTATACCTCCCAGTACGCGCGAGAAGATGAACAGTACCTGACCACCATTTCCTTCAATGTAAACGCTGCATCCGGCTACTATCATCCAGACCCCAAACCAAATATAGCCGATGATCAACATATTCTTGTATCCGAAGAGATCTCCGCAACGGCCAGATAACAGGATGAATGTACCGACTGTCAACGAATAACCCGCTATTAGCCAGGATAGGACACCGGGGTCGGTAATACCAAGATCGGATCCGATGATGTGCAAGATATTGAGAGTGCCGAGCAGACCTGCTTGCGTAACGAATTGAGCAGAGCAGAGCAAGCCAACAAAGAAAGCTTCGCGGAGTGGAGACATGGTCTCTGCGATTGACTTCGTCTTTGCGAGTTCCAGGTCCTGCTGCTTGGAAGCTTGCGCAGAGTGGCGAGAGTCGCAGCGGTCCATGTCTTCGTGGGAGTCGCTGTCGTCAAAGTTCTGGTCGGAGTTAGACGGGAGCTTTTCGTCTGTTGGCTCTAAAGAGCCTCTTGGTTCCTCCATTTCGAGAAGGCTCGACGGCGTGACCGAGGAAAGCGCCTGCTGGGGTGTGTCTTCTCGAGACTACCGTGAGACACCTTTGTTATCGCAGAAGATCGCGTATGTCAACTGGTGCTGAATGCACTTCAAATCCTGCGCCTATGTCGTTTTGGCTGTACGTTCCGAGATGGTACCGCGATGACGACAGTGCTCGTCGATTCTCAACGACGCGTCTCGAGGCGGAGGCAGGCAATGTTTGCGTGAAAACAGCAGTCGCGATTCGAAGAGTGTGTACAAGTATGTGTGGAAAAGTGACCCCAGCGCGATGCGCGTTCTAGTTTGCCGCCCATCGTGCCTGACATTTTTCTGAGCAATCTTCAACGTTCTTTACGTGAGCGCGGAATTGCGTCTGTCAGGCAAAGAAAAGCGGGTCCGCCGAACTTCGACCGCTGTCAAAGTCAGGATCTGATAACGCGCAAAGACGTTTTTGTTCGGGAAAAGCGGGCTTCGATTCAGCACCCAGAGATCTAGATTTGGTAGAGCGCTTGTGATGCTAAGTAAGCCACATGATAAGCATGTGTAACAGGACTGCGGAAGGCGGCCGTTTGGAACTTTTGCGAACCCCGGTTAAACATTCATCCGCAGGCGTAAAAGCACAATCTCAACGACCAGTCCGAACCAGGACCAGACCGCAGTCTGAGTCAAAGGCGCACTCTATTCTTTCTGCAGATGTCGTCGTACGATTTCCACGCGGGATTATTCGATTATCTACCGCCCCTTCTCATAAACCCTCACTCCCAGAACTTTCCAGACAGCCCAACTATGCCCCCCAACCCATATCGGCCCACCCCTCCAAAGCGGCAAAACATCGTCTCTCCCCCGTCTCCTCTTCATAACAGGCTCCTCCCACTCCCCCTGTTGAAATCGCTCAACATCATCCCTCCCAACAGTATGCGTCCTTGCACTAGCAGCCATACTCCAAAACCCCACAACATGCCCCTGATCAATCTTATGCTTCAACCAGCCCTTGCCCTGATTCTCCTTGGGACTATTATTGAGAAGAGATAGAAGTTCTGTGCAGGTATAATCCGCTTTCCCCCTCGGTAGCTCAACGGAGCTTAATTGAGTGCGATGCATTGACGCGGGGATCTTATCGACGACGATGGGGGACCAGAGGAAGGGGAAGGGCGCGTACATGAGCCGGAGGGATAGACTTAGGAGGACTGCGACGGGGAAGTCTAGGCCGATTGATACGCCTGCGCGGAGGGCGGATATGAAGGTAAGCCGCGGTGGGGATGTGGGCGTTGAGAAGAAGAGGAGATGGCGCTGGAACGCGGAGTATGTGGGACGGGACATTGTTAGGAGGTAAGGTTTGCTTGGAGGGCCCAAGACGCGTCGAGATGGTTGAGAATGTGCATATTTGCGAGACAAAAGTATGGGTTCGCGTGTGTAAGTCATGACGTCACGCGCACCCGATGCACCAGTGCACACCGCGATATTGTAGAATGTGTCGGTATCTGTGTATTGATCTAAGCACTATAGATACCATGATTATCGTGTACGCATAATTGCGATTCTCATATTGTCGCGACTATGATGCCATTGATTATAGCATTACCAAACTTCCTACAACCGCAGCAATCATCGCACTGCCAAAACCGCTCGCAGAGAGACCACCGGATGCAGCCGCGGTATAAGTAGGCATAGGCATGCCCGTGCCAGAAGGTGTACTTCCGTTGCTCGATGTGCCGTTACCAGCTAGATCTGGGAATAGATAGCTGGTATTGGCATCCACCACGATCCAGTTTCGCACCAAGGCCGTTCCATTCATAACCGACTCCCATTGCTCCGCAGTACACTGACCGGGATCGAGAACGTAACATTGGGTGCCTTCGTCAACGATGGGTTCGTTGGTGATGTTGTACACATCACTTGGTCCTTCGCTGGCGTAGTCGGGAGTCTCGGTCGTAGAGATGTTGCCGGTACTGATGTCGCGGTTGAAGAGGGCGCGTGTAAAGATCTTGTACGCAGTTTCAGGCTGGTAGGCTGGTACCTCGTGGCCAGCTTCGTACACCCGCGTAAAGGATAGGTTGCCGTATTGACGCACTTGGCCACCGATGTAGGTATCGTTCACGACGACAGGTGCGTATCCGGCATCCGCAAATGAAGTGGCGTTGTCGTAGGGGATAGCAAGGGAAAGTAGTTCACCACCGTACCCTAAATGTTGCATGATGTCAGTTCATATCTCACACGCAGTCTTCCTGGGGTAATACTGACAGTTGCAGGCATAGTCTCGGTCGCCGTACACCAGAGTAACCTTGATACCCTCCTCGAGAAGATATGCTAAATCTTCCTTCCAACCTGGACGTGGATAGTCGCCAATACCTCGGAATGCCCGCGACACGGCCGAGTTCGATTGAGTCCAGTTGAGAGGTACACCAAGTCCTTGCTGCACATGCGGCTGATTGAGCCAGCCTTGATACCATGGTGGAGGGAAAGCAGCCGCACCGGGTGCAGAGATGTCGTAGTAGTTGAGGTCGGTGTCAAAGTAAGGGTCTCGAATTGTCTCAGAGCAGAATGTCTCTGCCGCCTCACATACTTCGTTGACGGTCTCGTTGTAGCCTTGGTTTGTAGGATCGTATACAAGACTGATGTTGCGGCATTCTTCAATCTGATCGAGACAACCTCCTTCTTTGTAAAGGTTGTCGAGCACTTCCTCATAGCGCGATTCGTTCACAGCCTTGATACCGTACGTGTTGTTGTACTGCATCCTTGGGTAAGCCGGCCATTGGACGTAACGATCAATGCAGCCGTTGATGATCAGCAGAGTGTCGAGGTGGAGAAGATGGGCCTGTCCAGCTTCGCTCCACGT